GCACCACCCTGCACAAGAAAGCAACTGAAAAGTTTCCTGAGCTTCGCAAACTTTTACCGCCAATTCATCCCCTCATTTGCCCAGATAGTCCTGCCCCTCATGGACTTACTAAAAATGAAGGGAGCATCCTCAGTAAAACCTAGCCAGCCACTAACATGGACAATGGAGTGCCAAGCAGCATTTGAGAGATTAAAGAGACTTTTCTCTGCCGAACCAGTACTGAGGCACCCAGATATGGATAAGCCCTTCGTAATACAGGAGGATGCAAGTGATGTGGCAGTGGGGGCTGTACTATTACAAGAAAACAATGAAGGGGTATTGCAATCCTGTGTGTATACATCCAAGAAACTCACGGAAACGGAACAGCGCTGGCCCGTGTGGGAGAAAGAGGCATACGGGATACATTGGTCATTACTCACGTGGCGCCAGTTCCTTGAAGGCAACAAAATCACTTTCCAGGTGTGGACAGACCACAAAAATTTGGAAGCCCTGAAAACATCCAGGAAGCTCAACCCCATGCAAGCCTGCTGGTCCCAGCATTTTCACCAGTTCCAATTTATGCTCAAGCATTTGCCGGGGGGAAAGAACTTCCTGGCAGATGCACTATCTCGCATGCCCCAATATAACAGCACGCGAGCCACTGACTCTAAACCGATGATGGTAGAATCACAACTGGCAGCGCCAGTAACCACCAGAGCCCAAGCTAAATTAAAACCACAGCTAGGCAGCCAAACCGGAATTGAATTCTGGAAAAGTTTGGAAACAGATGAATGGTTCCAGAAAAACAAAAATGTGTGCACAATGAGAGACGGCTGCCTTGGGTTGGGGAAAAGTTATATATACCAACAACCCAAAGTGTCACATTCATGCAGCTTTGCCACGACACAAAGTCAGCAGGGCATTTTGGATTTGTAAAAACATTACACTTAATTAAACGGCAATTTTGGTGGCCATTCATAAAAAAGAACATAGAAAGTTATGTGGCCATCTGCCCAAAGTGTGCAACTGCAAAGAGGTTGCAAGGGAAATCGCCTGGACTGTTACAAACAGTGGCAAATCTCTCAGCCCCCTGGAGGGAAATAGCCATGGATTTTATAGTGGAATTACCAGAAAGCAATGGGAATACTGTTGTCTGGATGGTCACGGACTTGTTTTCCAAACAAGTGCACTTTATCCCTTGCCAAAAGATTCCCACCGCAAAAGCCTTAGCGAAACTTTTCGTCCAGCATATTTACAGATTGCATGGGGCAACCCAACGCATCATATCTGATAGGGGAGCGCAATTTATGCCTGCATTTTGAAAGGAATTTTTATCCCTCTTAGCGACCAGTCAGGGACTGACATCTAGCCATCATCCACAAGGGGATGGACAAACAGAACATTGTCACTCAGTACTTGAGCAATATTTAAGATGTTTTATTAATTTTCAGCAAACAAATTGGATGGACCTGCTCCCTTTTGCAGAAGTTGCCTACAATAATGCAGTCCACTCCAGCACAGGTTACGTTCCTTTTCAAATATCTACCAGTCAAAGTTTCAACCCCATGCCAGAACTAACCCCAAATGACCTGGCGATCCCATCACTGAAAGAATGGATGGAACAATTACAAAACACCTGGCCAATAGTTAGAAAAGCACTAGATGAAGCTAGGTAGGCATACAAAGCACAAGCCAATAAAAAAAGGGTTGAGCCTACACCATTCATTATAGGAGAAATGGTATACTTATCTACAAAATACCTAAAGTCCCTACAACCCTGTAAAAAACCTGGACCAAAATATATAGGGCCTTTTCCAATTAAAAGAATCAAAAACCCAGTAACAGTAGAATTACCCCAAAATCTCAGGCAAATATACCCTATTTTTCATTGCAGCTTGCTGAACAGAGAGCATCAGTCATCGTTATGGCCAAAAATCCCCACCAACACCTCCAATCATGGTGGAGGGCAAACAACACTTCGAGATAAAGGAAATCCTTGATTCTAGGAGATATCATGGAGCAACTCAGTACCTAGTAGCATGGAAACAGCTCCCTGCCTCACAAAACGAGTGGGTCCATAAATGTCATGTCAGAGCCCTGAAGCTATTAAAGAAGTTTCACACAGAATATCCTAACAAGCCTGACTAACTTTTATACCTGTTTTGTTTTATTTTCAGGTGGATCTATCTTATTTTTAAGGAGGCAGGATGTCAGAATCCAATTATATTTCATCTCTAGTTATTGACTATGGAAAACCCCATTTCTGCCCTCTCTGGATTCTGTCATACTACAAAGGGGAAGGGGGAATGAGCAAAGAGCTTTTATGGCTCTCACTTCCTTCATTAAAATTTCGAAGGGACTGAATGTGGATCTCACCAAGAGGACTGACCATAACAATATGGCCATCATCTTTCATGTACTCCTCTCTGAAGTCTCCCACCGACTGTGAGGAAAAGGGGGTGGAAATGTAATGCCTGGGATTGTCACTGGAAGGACAGTGGGGTGGGGGGCTGCTTGGGAACACTTAAAACCTTGAATGGTAGGGGTGGCCCTCAGGTCCTGTCTAGAACTCCTGTTGGAAATATTCCAAGAGTTCTGCCTTTTTAAGATGCAAAGTGGGGTGGGTCCTTACACTTCTGACAGTGAGGACAATCAACCAGTGGAATAGCTTGCCTCCAGAAATTGTGGGCACTCCATCACTGGAGATTTTAAAGAAGAGACTAGACAGTCACTTGTCTGAGATGGTATAGGTTCTCCTGCTTGAGTGAAGACTGGACTAGAAGGCCTCCAAGTTCCCTTCCAGCATTCTATTCTATTCTATTCTATTCTATTCTATTCTATTCTATTCTATTCTATTCTATTCTATTCTATTCTATTCTATTCTATTCTATTCTATACCATTGTTGTTTTTATTGTGATCAGAGGAGCAAACCATAGTGGTCACATTCATATAGATCACAAAACAATCTACAGTTAAATCTGTCAATCCAATCCAATCTCAGTCTTTAAAATGATGAACTACTCTCATTTGATGAAATATTTATAGTTGAATCCTATTCAATAAACATAGCTCCTCCCATTCCAGGGTTTTGATAAAGCCTCACATGAGATTATTCACAGTAGCACTTCTCAATCACAGAAAATCCACGTTTTGAAGTTGCTGCAGTTCAGCCACATTGCCTGAGTACAGAGATGCTACAGAGTCTGTCTTTTGAAGAAAGATAGATCAAAGATATGCTGGTTGCAAAGCATGGAGAGATAGTCAGAGATGAGATGGTAACAAGGGCTGGGATTTTCTGTTGCTCTGCCAAGTCTGGTATTCACATCTTCAAGTTGAGGTTTCCCTCAATGGCTGGTCCCTACAAGGAATTATGGGACTTCCAGGATCAAGCTGTGTCAAGGCTTTGCCTTCAACCCTGACAACAGGTTGCAACCTCTGGAACTTTTCCTGGAAGCTTCCGAGTGGCCTCAGTCGGGGAGATGCAGGGAAATGGCATCTCCACTCTCTCCTGCCTCAGGGCTGCAAAGGTAAGAAGAATCAGATTTCCCTCTTCTTGTTCAGCAGGCAAGGAGAATACGGGTTGAACTTAGAATCATATGGCTGGAAGGGATCTTGGAGGTCTTCAAGTCCAACCCTTCGCCTAAGGCAGGAGGCCTACATCCATCCTGGACAATGGTTGTCTATTTTTTTTTGAAAGTCTCTAATGATGGAGCATCCACAACTTTGAGAGGCAAGTTTTTCCATTGATTAATTGTTCTCACTGTCGGGAAGTATCTTCTTAGTTCAAGAGCTGAAGAAGCTTCTTGAATGAGAAGTGTTTTCAAAGGGAAAACAAGAAAGTCCAGTTGCCTCGTGAAAGCACATTTGGGATCTCTCTTTAATGAGCTTCCATCCATTGCTTCTTGTCCTGCCCTCAGGTGTTTTGGAGAATAAGTTGACCTCTTCTCTATGACAGACCCTCAAGTACTGGAAGAGGTTTTGTGTCCCCCCCTAATCCTCCTCTTCAATAGGCTACACATATCTAGCTCTCTTAACTGTTCATCATGGCCTTTAGCCTCCAGATCCCTTATCATCTTTGTTGTTCTTTTCTGCACACTTTCCAGGGCCTCAGCATCTTTTCTGTATCATAGTGACCAGAATTGGGCTCAGTAGGCCATTGGTTTTGAATGGTCTGGCCACCTCCCCCAATAGGCAGCTCTCCCAGGGTTGTGTCCCATAACTGCTGCTGACTGGGCCAGGATTTGTACATAGGATAAAAAGGGTTTGTTAATCCAAATTGACTGTGTTTGTATGACACGTTTACAACTTGCTAGTCTAAAGCAGTATTAATTTGTAGCTATGTTGCCTAGCAACCTTGTTGCCTGGCTCAGTTGCCTAGGAACACCCGCATCCACTGTATGAACATTGCTGCTCTAGTATCACTGGCTTTGCTGGGTGCTGGCCCAGGACCAAAAGCTGTCTGTGCCTGTGCTGCGGGGCAGGGGCTGATTATACCATGGGGTGTGGTAGAATATGCCCTTGGTAGGTAGGCCAGTATCCAAGGGCAAAATCTGGACTGGGCCAGCACTGGAACTATTCCATTTCATGGTAAGTTGACACTGAATATGAATGCAGTTGATGGGAAGACTTCCCACCCACGTGGTAAATTATTAGAATTACAGCACCCCCCCCCCATGGTATTGCTTTTATCCTAGCCCAGAGTGGAGCTTTAGCTGTTCCTTTTCTTCCTCTTCTGATTATTTTTGCACATTTCCTCAATAATGCGGATGCTATCCCGCTCAGAGGCAGGAAGCTGCCAGTTCTGAGGACTACTGCAGGGCAGCCCTTCCCTCCTGTGGTGGGCCCTGTGCCCTGGGCCTTCCGGCCAGGCCGTGGGCTCGAGAGGCGAGGTGAACACTGGTCAGCTGGGGGGGGGGGTCTCCTTGCGCAACTCTAGCAATTAAATGGCTTCCCTTCGAAAAGGAGCTGGGCCTCTCTTTTAGCGCCTGGTCGGGGCTGGAGGCGGAGACGCCACGCCGGGGGTCCGGCCATCGCCGCCCAGGCCTCGCTCTGCGCGAAGCCCCATCGGAGGCTTCGTGGCCAAGGCTGCGGAGGAGCGCCCAGGAGAGAACCACCGGACGGCCACCGGGTGGCGGCGAGGAGACGGTCCGGCTTCCCCTCGTCGCTCCTGGCCGTCCGGGCTCTGCGGCCCAGCGCCCCCTCTCCCCCCCCAGCTCGCTAGGCCGGAGTCGCGGCTGGAGCGCGGGCGTGGCCAGAGCCTCTCGGCCCTCCGGCTGCCTCTTCGCGGCCATGCGGCGGACCCGGCAACACCGCCTGCCACTTTAAGGGGAGCGGCCGCGAGGGAGGCGCCCGCCGCAGGATTCCGGGCGAACAAAGGGCGGTCCGCCGGGGAGGGACCGGAGCCGCGCCTGCTCGCCCGCTTTTCCTCCCAACCGGGCGTCCCGTTCGCTTCTTTCTGAGCCGGCCCGGCTGCAGCCGCCAATGCGGAGCCGGCGAAGCGCCGCCCGCCTTGCCCGGAGCCGCCCCCGGCCGCCGCCTCGGCCCCTCCGCCGCGGGAGGCGAGCGCGCCGCCAGGGCTGAGGCCGCGAGGGGCCGGGCGGGACGGCCATGGGACAGCCGGCGCTGGAATTCAGCGACTGCTACCTGGACAGCCCGGGCTTCCGCGAGCGGCTCCGGTGCTCCGAGCAGGAGCTGGAGCGCACCAACAAGTTCTTGAAGGACGTGGTCAAGGACGGCAACGCGCTCATCGGGGCCATCAAAAGTAAGCGGCGGTCCCGCTGCGCGGAGCCCCCCCTCCCCGTCCACTCGGGCCGCGGTCCCCTCCCGCCACCCCCCTCGGGCCCTCGCGCGCGGGGCCGCGGGAGGAGAGGCCGGCCGGGAGGCGAGCGCGGAAAGGCGAGCCGGGCTTGCGGCCGCGGGGGACGCCGCCTCCCCTTGGAAGATGGCGCTTGAACTGCCTTCGGCTCCTCTATTGACTTGCTGGCGGTCCTTTGGGGTCCGCCTCGCCCGGCTGCCAGGTTGACACTTTGATGGGAGACCACGAGGAAATGCCGGACTGCAATTCCCCCCCCCCCCCGAAGCCATCAGCAGGGCTTCTCCATCATTGCCAAGAAAGGGCGAGAGTCCTGCCTGGCCCTACAGAGCGGAGTTGGACCCCGGGGGGAGAGCTCGGTCGGCCTCCGTTACTTTGGGCCTGCTTGTCGCTGTCCCCTAGACCTAGCAGCTCTTGTGGTTGTTAAATCATGTTTTAGCGCTTTGGGGCACCTGCTAAAATGTGGCTTCTGCGTATTTTAAGATATATGTTCTGCAAACCTGAATTAAGGAAACTAGCATTGAAAGTGTTGTGAACACCATCTATGGATTATGCTAGTGGGGGCAACTGCGGCGGTGGGGGCAAGTGACGTCATGCATGCCGTGGCATCGTGCCTTGATTATGTTTGGATTATGTAATTTGGGTGATAACCTCATAAGAAGGGGCCTTCTCTGGCCTGGAGGCTTGCTGTGTGGGATATCCATGGGGTTCCTTCTTGGTCTTGTTGGGGAAGTTTGGCTTGTCTTCCACTTAAGACAGCTGCAGAAGCCCCAGAGCAGCGGTTCTCAACCTATGGGTCGCGACCCCATTTGGGGTCGATCGACCATTTTACGGGGGTCGCGAAACAACGCGATCTGCCATTTCCCCCCCAGGGGGCGGCGCTGTGCATGCGTGCCGCGCATGGGGCAACACCGTGCATGCGCACCACACATGGGCGACACCGCGCATACGCAGCACGCCCGCATGCGCGGCACGTCCGTGTGACGGGGGTCGCCGTCACACGGAGATTGAGAACCGCTGCCCCAGAGTCTAGGACGGTTTCAAACACAATTTCATTGAGGGCCGCATCAGCATTGCGGTTGCCCTCAGGGGGCTGGGTGGGCGTGGATGGAGTGGGTGTGGCCTACTGGGTGGGCATGGCCATCTCTACATCGTTCGCGTCAAGGGTGCCTGTGGGGGCCTGGGCAGGAGTGGGACAGATCTGGGGGTCTCTGGCAGAAGGGGGGGGGACCAGGGCAAGGGCCAAGACATGGTCCACTGGAGGAGCCTCACTGTTCCTCTCAGGCCATGCGGGGGGGGGGGAGCTTATGGAGTAAGACTGAATACGTTTCAGCATAGATGGCCACCACAAAATTGTACATTGGCTTCTGGCTGGCCTGGGCCAGGGCCAAGGCAGAGGGGACCATTCCCCCACTGTTTCCAGGATGGCTTTGTGGGCCACATGAAACCACTTCGCGGGCCGCATCCACCCCTCCCCCCCGGCCTTGTGTTTGACATGTCTGGTCTAGGAGCTTCTCCAGGCGTTTCCCCTTTCCTGAGGTGGGGAACTGAGATGTAGGTGCCCAGCAGGTGCCCAGGAAGATGCTCTCTCCTCTGCAGGTATGCGTTCTTACTGGGTGGAGCCAACCTTAATGCTCCCGACTTCTACTTGTAAATGTTCTGTGCACTATTTGGGGGAACAGAGGCAGACTTTCTTGTATGCGTTGAATTTCAGAACATGCTACTTTTCTGGAATGCCTATTCTCTGAGCATGGCTTTACCTTTTCCTCTGAGTGAGTGAAGATTTTAGAGGAAAATGCAATTTATATCTAATCTTAACATACAATAGGTAGGGTATTTTATTCAAACGTTTGTGCAAGAACCAGATTGTGTGTTATGTATTTCTGGCCAATAATGGGCTAATGGCAAGTTTCTGAATAATGGAAGCTTCTGAAAAAAGTCATTTCTAGGCATAATGAGCCCTTCCTGGGAAGCAACATCATGAGGTACCCCACAGAAGGGGGAAAAAATCTGTCTGTTGGGGAGTGAATCCTTTCAGCTGCTTTTCTGCAGTGAGGGTGATAGGAATCCTCTACAACAGTGGTTCTCAACCTTTTTAATGCCATGACCTCCAACCGGTCGTAAGTCGAGGACTACTCAACCGGTCGTAAGTCGAGGACTACTCAACTGGTGCAGCACCGTTTGCAGAATGGGACTTTTGGAGGGCTCAGCAGGGCAGAGACAGCCTGGACTATTCCTATTGGCTTTCAAAAGCCAATAGAATAAAAGAGTAGCACAGCTAAGGAAAAGGAGAAAAAATGGCGGACTGCTTTGTTTGGCGACCCCCGTGAAATGGTCGTTCGACCCCAAATGGGGTCCCGACCCACAGGTTGAGAACCACTGATCTACAAGGAAGAATGTCTGCTTGTCTTACACTTATTCAGAATGAGTTGCCTGCAGATTTCTGGGTAGGGGAAAAAAGAGTATCCTTGTTGGGATGTCAAGACCATTTTTAATCTGTTTCCCTTTACCCAGATGCAGGTGAAAGGAACGGCGGTCTTGCGGAGGCAACCTTCAGGCATGGGCACTAGATTCAAACCTTGGGCTAAGCTCTAATGTGGATCACTTGCTTATGGGCTGAAGTATCCTATAGTCCCAGCACCGCAGTCTATAAAACACGGCTTATGATTTAACACAATGTATAGACTCAGCTATTTGTAGCTTATTCAGTAAGCCATGGCTAAATAAACCACAGGTTAGTGTATGTAAAACCAACCCTACAGAAGGTGGGTAAATTGGAAGCCGGCTTACTTTCCTTTCCACTCTCAAAGTTTCTTTTTCTTCCCCTTGGTTCTTCTGGTTGTGTGTGGCCAGTCCTGAGAAGGTGGAAGTGACTCAGAGCCACTGAAGCCCTTGGGTGGTCTTGGTGAAGAAATTGCCCAACTTGGAGGTGCCTTGGCTGTTTTGCTTTGTGAGAGACACAGGAGGTTGATCTAAATAATCCCTGAAAATTCCCTTTCCCGGTGGATCTCAGCTGACCTGGCTTTGCTGCCTGAGCAGCTCTGGCTCCCTCAGTTGTGGGACTGGCAGTGTTGTGGGCAGACTTTTTCCTTATGTACTGAGCAGGTAGTTGTTTCTTTTTGAGATCATAACTGTGGTAGCTTCTGGGTAGAAGGATGTGCCTTAGAGTTGGGGCTTCATGGCCAGTCCTACCATCTCCAAGAAAGACTCATGAGAGCTTTGAGCCAGATAAATCTCAAGAAAATGTGAGGAAAGCTGTGTAGATTTGCTGGCATTTTGTAAGCTGTCAGCCAGATAAGAATATCAACTTGGGAGTTCACAGCGAACTCTGGGATGGTTGTGAAATTTGGCTGCTATCACTGCAGAGGTTCTTGGAAATGCAGCTTTCTGGAAAGCAGTGAGCATGTACTGTGATGGGCTATTCTGGCTGAGGCATTCTGAGAGTTGAAGTCCATTCACCTGGAGGATGCCAAAGCTGAGAAGGCAGTGATGGAAAACAGAATTGTGACAAGAGCCATGTCATCTGTTGACAGTTGTAATCTCAAGGCGCTTTTGAAAATTAGCCATGCTCATCTGTACACCCATCTGGACGAGATGAAAAGTCCTGGGAAGAACTGCTTTTTTGTCATTCTCAGCTGAGATAAAATGCAGTGGCCTTCATGCATTTGGGAGTTGCTGGGTGATGTATTCCAACGAGATCAGGTTGTACAACAGCAGATGTATTCTTTGATTACAATTGTTGATGGCCATTTACCTCTCAGTGACCTAACATAGCTGGCTCTAGTGTAGTCTAATTGGTGGTTTGGTGGGATGTTAGGAAGTTGAGAAGTCTGGATTCTGGGCACCGTACTATGAATAGAGATGTTAAATCAGCTCAGTCAACCCACTTTCCTGAAAGATAAATTAGACTTTGAGAGGTGAGATTTCTTTTCTCAGGAATAGCCCCACAGAATGTTTGGGTTGAAAAAGGCTGGAGTTACACAGTACTTTATCTAGGAGATACATTTCTGTTTGCTGAAATATTTGAAAACATTGATGGATTTTGGAATAATCCAGCTGCAATGAAATCAGCAATGTGTCATTTAAATTGCATCAGCTGTAAGCATTGCATTATTAATAGGCACAAGAATGCAAAGATACTACAAGAAGAAAAGGCTTAAGAACTCCCCTCCCCCAGTTCATAAATACCTGCCTTTGATTTCAGCCTCCCAAGAACTGTTGTCCATTCCAACAAGAGTCCCAGAAGATGGGTAGGGTGGTAGAAATAGTCAGAAATTATTTTATGCTGTTTCACCAGTATTGTGTCTTTGATGTCTGTGTTTTGAAAGCTGCATATACACAGCCTGAATCTATATAATCATAACAGTATCTGTGAGAAATAACAAGTGGGGTGCGCAATCACATGTTTTTATAGAGCAGGGGTGTCATAATCCAATTATATTTCATCTCTAGTTATCAACTATAGAAAATACCATTTCTGCCTTCTCTGGATTCTATCATACGATGAAGGGAAAGGGGTGAACAAAGGGGCTTTATGGCCCTCACTTCCTTCAGTACACTTCAAAGCGACTGAATGTGGATATCACCAAAAGGACTAACCATAACAATGGGGCTATTACTTTCATGTAGTTCTCTCTGAAGTCTCCATCCAGCCGGCAGTAAGGAAAAGGGGGTGGGAGTGTAATGCCTGAGACTGTCGCTGGAAGAAGGGAGTGATTGGGTGGGGCTACCAGGGAACCTCTTAAAACCTTGAATTGAAACCTTAAAATGCTTGGACCCCAAGTCCTGTCTAGAACGCCTGCAACCATTTTCTCTTAATAAAGGATGCCTGTTGGAAGAATTATTCCAAGAGTTCTGTCTTCTTAAAATGCAAAGGGGGGTGGGTCCTTACATTAGACAGGACTTGCAAAATTAATCCACCTGGAAGGGAGACCCTTGCCGGGGGATTT